GTGTGTGTGTGTGTGTGTGTGTGTGTGTGTGTGTGTATAGAGAGAGAGAGAGAGAGAGAGAGAGAGAGAGAGAGAGAGAGAGAGAGAGAGAGAGAGAGAGAGAGAGAGAGAGAGAGAGAGACAGAAACAGAAAGGGAAAGGTCACATGACTCCCAAATCCAGATTAAACCGAAACAACAGAGGGTTAATTAAGGGTCGCTTCCTGGATTAGAGATTTGGGAAAAGCGAATGAAATCGGCCACAAACGAGGTGGGGGGGGGGGGAGGTTGGAGGGAGGGAGGGAGAGAAATGATAATGATGATAATAACTATGATAATAATGAATGATATTTCAATAGCTGAAGGTAAAGGGAAGGAAGGGAGGGAAGAGGGAGACACGAAACCCGAGAAAAAAAGAATAGAACAAACAGACAATAACGCCAACAAGCGCACAACAGACGCACATCCTCGTTCACCAAACGCTCCAAAGGTCATTACGTCATCGCCACAAGAATGACGTCACGGGTGCCACACCGCTGACACGCGCGTTGTTCCTGGTCAGTATAGAGCTCATACTCGCCCTGGAATGACCATTTTGAGTGGGTCGTTCTGTGTCTATACTGAGGATCTGCTGAAATTGGTGTATACTGAAGACTGGTTGTGGTAGAGATAAGATATTAAAAAAGGAGGGAAATTACTCCTTTTTTGGGGGAGGAGTAAAAAGAGAAAAAATATATTTGAAAGTACTTTAGGTCATATACTGAACTTGAAAATGTGAAGGTGTTCAGTCCTTTATCGTAAATAAACAGATTCGAAAAGAAATCGACTTCTTCCCCCACCTCAACCACCCTTAATCTCATTCTTGCAGAACACAAAAAAGAAAAAGAAAGAAAGAAAAAAGAAAAAAAATCCCACTAAACAAAAACAAAGCAAAACAGAACCTAAAGTGGAGCGATTTCAACTTTCGTCTTAAAGTGTCCTGAAGGTCGGAGTTTCAAAGTGGAGGGATGACTTAGCCAGACACGATGAAAACGTAAGTAAAAGAATACGTGATAAAATGAGTAAAAGAGAAGATAGGTCATGTAATGTCAGAAAAGACGAAGAAATTATTCATCAACCAAGATAATATACATTATCTATTATTTACTGACTTTTCAAAACAACTAAAACTTTATAAAGAAGCAAGGAAGAAAACTTTAATAAAAGAAAGAAAGAAGGAAAAAAAAATCAAAATAAAAGGTATAAATAAATATATAATGATAATAATAAACCAATTTCCTGTCTCCTTTAACAGAACCGCAGTCTTTTTTTTGGTGTCTCTCCTTGGAAGCTTGCTGTGTCCTCCTCCAGCTTCAAGTCTTCAGTTTACAAAGACATTGGCTTCATGGTTTTCCAGTCTGGACCTTCGCCTTTCTACTGACGAAGGAGGAGGGGGAGGAGGAGGAGGAGGAGAAAGAGGAGTAAGAAGGATAGGAGTAGGTGGAGTAGCAGGAGGAGGTGGAGTAGGAGGAGGTGGAGATGGAGGAGGAGGGGGAGGAGGAGGAGGTGGAGTGGGTGGAGGAGTAGGAGGAGGAGAAGGAGGAGGTGGAGTGGGTGGAGGGTGGAGGAGGAGGAGGAGGTGGAGTGGGTGGAGGAGTAGGAGGAAGGTGGAGTGGGTGGAGAAGGAGGAGGAGGTGGAGTGGTGGAGGAGTAGGAGGAGGAGGAGGAGGGAGTGGGTGGAGGAGTAGGAGGAGGAGGAGGAGGTGGAGTGGGGTGGGGAGTAGGGGAGGGAGGAGGTGGAGTGGGTGGAGGAGTAGGAGGAGGAGGGGAGTGGTGGAGGAGGGAGGAGGAGGTGGAGGAGTAGGAGGAGGAGTGGAGTGGGTGGAGAGAGTAGGTGAGTGGGTGAGGAGGTGGAGTGGGTGGAGTAGGAGGAGGAGGTGGAGTGGGTGGAGTGGGAGGGGGGAGGAGGGGAGAGGAGGGAGTGGAGTAGGAGTAGGAGGAAGGAGGTTGGAGTGGGTGGAGGAGTAGGAGGTGGAGTGGGTGGAGGAGTAGGAGGAGGAGTGGAGGGTGGAGGAGTAGGAGGAGGAGGAGGAAGGAGGAGGTGGAGTGGGTGGAGGAAGGGGGAGGAGGAGGTGGAGTGGGTGTAGGAGTAGGAGGAGGAGGAGGGAGGAGGGTGGAGTAGGAGGAGGAGGAGGAGGAGGTGGAGTGGGTGGAGGAGTAGGAGGAGGGGGTGGAGGAGTGGGTGGAGGAGGAGGAGGTGGAATGGGTGGAGGAGTAGGAGGAGGGAGGAGGAGGAGGTGGAGTGGGTGGAGAAAGGAGGAGGAGGTGGAGTGGGTGGAGGAGTAGGAGGAGGAGGAGGTGGAGTGGGTGGAGGAGTAGGAGGAGGAGGAGGAGGTGGAGTGGGTGGAGGAGTAGGAGGAGGAGGTGGAGTGGGTGGAGGAGTAGGAGGAGGAGGAGGAGGTGGAGAGGTGGGGGTGGAGTAGGAGGAGGAGGAGGTGGAAGGAGTTGGAGTGGGTGGAGGGAGTAGGAGGAGGAGGGGTGGAGGAGTGGAGGTGGAGGAGTAGGAGGAGGAGGTGGAGTGGGTGGAGGAGTGGAGGAGGAGGAGGTGGGTGGAGGAGTAGGAGGAGGAGGTGGAGTGGGTGGAGGAGTAGGAGGAGGAGGAGGAGGAGGTGGAGTGGGTGGAGGGGAGGAGGAGGAGGAGGTGGAGTGGAGGAGTAGGAGGAGAGGTGGAGTGGGTGAGGAGTAGGAGGAGGAGGAGGAGGTGGAGTGGGTGGAGGAGTAGGAGGAGGAGGAGGAGGTGGAGTGGGTGGAGGAGTAGGAGGAGGAGGTGGAGTGGGTGGAGTGTAGTAGGAGGAGGAGGAGTAGGAGAGGAGGAGGAGGAGTAGGAGAAGGAGGAGGGAGAAGGAGGAGGAGGAGGTGGAGGAGGAGTGGGAGGAGTAGGAGAAGGAGGAGGAGGTGGAAGAGGAGGAGCAGGTGGAGTAGGAGGAGAAGCAGGAGGACGTGGAATTGGAGGCAGAAAAGAAGAAGGAAAAGGAAACTTCTCAAGCGATGTCCAAGTGAGTAAAATCATCTTTTTACCTTCTTTGGTTGATCATTAACAGATTCCTTACATAGTTACTCTTAGATCTTTCTACTATCTTTTTTATTTTAATTTCTCAATAACATCAGACTGCAAATAGATGAAGGTGTATGGTTTCATTGTTAGATAAAGTGCAAACAAAATCAGAATACGTATATTTTCCTTATGTAATTGATCTTATAAGCAACGACTGAAGACTGACTGCAGATAAAAATGGAAATGAGCACCAAAAAATATTCTTTATTTTCTAGCAAATGACGAGTTTGTTTACATATTTTTTTTCTAAGTAACTGATATTGTAAGTAATGAAGAGCTTATTTACGTAATATTTATTCCAAGTAACTTATATAAGTAATGAAGAGCCTACGTAATACTTATTCCAATTAACTTAAATAAGTAATGAAGAGTCTACGTATTTTTTTTCAAAGTAACTGATATTGCCAGTAATAAAGCGAGTGTTTACGGACTCGCGTGGGTCGCGTCCAGCCGCCTCTGTTTTCCACGGCGCGTATTTATGTATGCGGGTCATTGCCAGGGGGATTAAGTGTCATTCCGTTCCATTCTGTTCATGAGTAAACAAGAATATGTGATGAATTAATCTTCTGTGTACTTTCTAACGCTCTGAATCTGTTTACTTTATTTATGCATACGTATGTACTTAATTGTATGTATATATACATATGAATGTACATACTTTCGACGTACATAAATGCTTGTATATATGTTTATGCGAGTGTATATACAGCCACTGAAATATATACCACTTTTTCTAAAAAATATATTCATATCTTGATCTACGTATTAATGTCTGTTTTTAATTATGTTCATTAATTAAGACTGGAGAAACACTCTACCCTGTTGAAATAATGGTAGAA